CGTGCTGCGAAAGAGGCAGCCAACGATGTCCGGCGCCGTCCCACTCCACGCGCTGGCTGCTCGGACTTGCCGGGCCCGGCACATAGAACAGGGCGGTGCCGGATGTTGGAGAAGCCGAGCGGAGCCGAAGCAACCTCAGCTCGCGTTGTTTTCTGAGCCCGCGAGCCTAGAGCCAGGGCGCTTTCATTGCACGGCGGAGCTTCTTGTCTTGGGAAAAACCGGGCGTCGTTGCTGCCCCCTGAGGGGAGGGCGATTCTGGGCTGCGCGATTGGGGGACTTCGTGGCTTTGGGTGGGTGGGAGTGAGGACGGACGGAGTCTGTGAAGCGGGGCTTGCCTGCCCTTGCTGGCTGCCTCTGCTTCCTTAGGGGTGGGGAAGGGGGCTCATCTGGACCAAGGGTGAGTCTCCCCCTCAGTTTCCCCTGAAGGATCTTCCGTCGCTTTTGCCTTCTCCCTACATCTGGGGCTGCCGCCAGTGCGGCTTCGGTCCCGCGTTGCCTTGGGAAGGGTGGGGCAAAACCAGGAGCCGCTGAGCCTGAGCCTCCGGTGCCGCTGCCGCTGTTGCAAAGCGCTGCCGCGGCTCTTCCCTTTTGCCTTTCCCTTCCCGAGATGACGCGGGACTGGGGCCGCGCCGGCGGTAGCGACTCCTGACTCAGGGGGCCTCCGAGGGAGGGGAAGAGAGTGACTCCTGCCTCCCGCTGTCATCATCATCTTCTTCTTTTGGGTTAGTGAATCAATTAAACCTTTCATGATAGTGAGATCGTTTCCCAAATTAATTATTTTTATTTTTTAAATTTACCAGTAGCTGCTGCATTTTCCACCCTCGGCTTATACTCGAGTCAATAAGTTTTCCCAGTTTTTTTTGTGTAAAATTAGGTGCCTCGACTTATATTCGGGTCGACGTATACTCGAGTATATATGGTATTTGAGAAACAGTCGATATTTCTTCCAGGCCTCAAACCACGTTTCATTCACAGAACAGTCTGGATCAATCGACTTGTGCTTCTTTAAAGGCCTAGTGTCTGATTTGACAGTGCACTATCCCAACATAGAAAAACACCACAAAAAAATAGGAAGCTGATTGTGTCAACAACAAAAAACCCACAAAAAAGCATATGAGTACATTGTGTGCTTGTCATACATTCCATCTAAGTTCATTCCTCACGTGGGAGAAGACTGTCAACATCACATAAACCATAGTTTGGTCCAAGTTTGGAAGCAGTATTTAGGATAGTTTTGTTTTTTTAGATTAAGATTGCAACATATACAGGTAGTCCTTGACTTACAACAGTTGATTTAAATTAAATACATTAAATACATGCCAGTTGTCAAGTGTCTGAATTTTGATCACAAACAAGACCATGGGGATGATGCAAGAGTTGTAAGTGAAAAACAGCCATAAGTCACTTTTTCGGTGCCGCTATAAACTTCCAATGGTCACTAAATGAATCATTGTAAGCCAATGACTACCTGTATCTTGGTCTGATCTCATGTTGCTTTTCCCAAGATCAATCAAGTTTGGCTAGGTGTCGCCAACTAGCTGGGTCTTAAAAATAAAAATGGATTAAAATGAAATTATAAAACAGAAGCAGTTTCTGTTGCTTCTTCTCTACAGAACTTGGTGTCATTCAACAATACAAACTTGAAATAACTGTCTCCAACCACTGATATAGCAACAGCACTTAGACTTATATACCGCTTTACAGTGCAATTTATAGAGTCAGCATATTGCCCCTCACAATCTGGGCCCTCATTTTACCCACCTCAGAAAGATGGAAGGCTGAGTCAACCTTGAGCCTGGTGAGAATTGTCAAATTGCAGGCAGCCGGCAGGCAGCAGAAGTAGCCTGCAGTACTGCACTCTAACCACTGCACCACCGTGGCTCATGATATGCTACCTTTAATGTTTATTTTAGCCAAATAAGGGTGTTTGAAGGCTAAGGAGTTTAAATTAGTCACATATTCCAAATCTCGTTCTATTCAATGGAGAGGCTTCCTGATGATGTTTGCCTGAGTTTTTTTTTAATTTATTGATTGATTGATTGATTGATTTGATTTGTCAATTGCTTACAAGATAATAGGTCTAAGTATAAACATGAGTAAGAATACAGGAAATAGGTACGAATAAATGGGGACAATAGGACAGGGACAGGAGGCACAATCGTCCCTTACAGACCTCTTAGGAATGGAGTGAGGTCAATAGTGGATAGTTTAAGGTTAAAGGAGTGGGGATTTGAGGATGTAACAACAGAGTCAGGTAGTGCATTCCAGGTATTGACCATTCTGTTGCTGAAATTGTACTTTCTGCAATTAAGTCTGGAACGGTTTACACTGAGTTTGTATCTGTTGTAAGCTCTTGTATTGTTTGGGTATTGTCTCTTTGATGAGAAAACAAAAAAGATTTTACGGAATTAGAAATTGCATTCCAGCACAGATATCATACGGAGATTAATTCAGCTTCAGTCTTTGACATCATAATGGATCTAACAGTGATCTCTTGACCAGAGGTCTGGAGGCAATGATTGAAAGTAATCAATCTCATCTCTCTTAGTGCATATAATAGAGAAATACAGAAATACTTTGGAGGGCTACATCAAAATAGAAGATAGTTGCTTTTCTTTTTTTTTTACAGCTATGCCTCTGTGTCCATGTAATGATTCATATTACTGTTGCCAAGACAACATAAGTATGATGCCAGTTCCAACACCAATTACTACTGCAAGCCAACAGTTAGTTAGTTTCGGTTGATTCAGCCACAGGGACGTGTTCTTTGCATTGCCCAGCTACGGCAGTACAGTTTTGTTAGGGCACGTTGCCTGCACTACGGCAGTGCTGCCAAATCACGTGCATAACATCCCAACACTATGGAGCCATTCACTAAAAACCAACGCAGGCATTTGAAACAGACAAACAAGCTTAAAAA